GAAAGAAAGAAAGAAAGAAAGAAAGAAAGAAAGAAAGAAAGAAAGAAGCTATGCTATATTTACACAATGGAGTACTACACAGCAGAAAAAAATAATGACATATTGAAATTTGCAGGCAAATGGAAAGATCTAGAAAACTTCATATTGAGTGAGGTAACCCAGACCCAGAAAGTCAAATATCATATGTATTCACTCATAAGTGGCTTTTAGACATAAAGCAAAGAAAACTAGCCCACAATTCACAATCCCATACAACCTCGATAGCAAAGAGGACCCTAAGAAAGACATACATGGATCTAATCTACACAAGAAGTAGAAAATAGATAAGATCTCCTGAGAGAATTGGGAGCATGGGAACCATAAGTTAGGGTAGAAGGGGAAGGGAGAGGAAGGGAGGGAAGTGGAGAAAAATATATAGCTTAATAAAAACAATTTTAGAAAAAGAGTTAACCCACATGTCTGTTGATGTCCTGCACAGGAAAACACGCCTCAGGAAGGCTTTCTGTGCCAGAAACTTTAGAAGACGCACCCAACCCGCTTTGTCATGTAGCCCGTGGTCTCCTGGCCATTGTCCCCTCTCGCTCCTTGACGGCCTTCCATCTGCCGATGTCCACCCTCACTTGAGCATGGCTCCCGTCATTCTCTAAGCAACCTGCCAGTCTCCTACATGATAGGCTGAGTCTTGTCTGAACCCCTCTGTCAGGTGTCTGGACTGCGGTGCTGGGCAGAGGAGGGGACAGAGTGAGATTCTAGAGCCTGCACCTCTAACTGCTTGAATGGAGCCCTTCCTTTGAAGGCCAGAGCAGGTTAAGATGAGGAGAAACAAGGGAGAGGGGTGTGGCCCCTTCCTCCTTTGGGGCTCGCTCACCCACTCCTTTAACCTCCTTTTGAGTGGGCAGAATGCAGGTGCGCAGGCTGAGGATGAAAGCGGTGCAGCTCCTGTCTGCTGCACGAGGAGCTAAGGGCACAAACGTGATCTCACACTTGAGGCTGCAAGAGTGCAGCCTCTCCAGAGATATCTGAGAGGAAGCAGGCAGTGAAAGTGGCGGGGCTTACCTCATTGGGAGACTTGTCATGGGGCTGTGACCTGCGGAAGCAAGAAAAGAGTCACCAGAGCCGGAAGTGCAAAGCTGATCTAGACTTGCGATCTGGAGCTGAAGGAGGTGGCAGGCGGTGGCGGCAGATGTGGGGTAGGGTGGGGGTGGGGGGTGGGGGGTGGTGATGCTCATGAGCAGTTAGAAGATTTGCATCCTAGAGTCTGCCTTGCAGACTCAGGTTTTTAGGACCAGAGGAGAGGTGACAAGGACAGAGCCCTGGATTATTCAGTCCAGGAGTTCTCCCAGCTCACAAAGCCTTGATTATCCCCCTTCCTCAGTGGTGTTTGTCAGTGACGTGCTCCTGTGACAAGGAGGTGCACAGTGCCCCGTGACACCCGGACCCACACAGCAGAGAGTCTCCTAAGGGAGAATGGATGTCCATGACCTTCACACGCAGCAGGGAGGGCATCAGGATGAGGAACTTGCTCCTGGACACGTGGTTCCCTGAGGCCAGTCTAGCCTAGGTGGACTGAGTCTTCCTTCAGCACTGACTTGGTCCCCGTGGATGGAGTGGGGGGGTGAGGACCTACAGCCCCTGAGGGCTGGTCTTGTACAGTGTTTGTTTAACTAAGTAAAGATGTGCTGCTGTTTTACCTCGCCTGCCAAGGCGCCTGATTGGTCCAAGAAAAGCTGAATGCCCAGTGGTGAGGGAGGAGGTATAGGTGGGGCTTCTGGGCAGGGAGATCAAGTTGGAGGAGGAATTTAGTCTCAAGAAAGAAAGAAAGACCAGGGGCCAGCGGGCCAGACATGGAGGAAACAGAAAAGTAGGACATACAGAAGGAAAGCAAGCCCCGAGGCAAAACGTAGATGAGGAAAAAACAGTTTAAGGGCACAGTTTAAGGGAAGGAGCTAGTGGGGCAAGCCTAAGCTATAGTGCAGCATTTGTAATTATTAATAAGCCTCCACGTCTTCATTTGGGAGCTGGTTGCTGGCCCAAAGAAAATGGCACCTACAGACTGGGAAGAGATCTACTGTGTTAAGTCAGACAGGAGACAGTGGCTGGTGTCCAGGATGCCAGGGAAGATCGGGCAGGTGGTGGAACCTTCTGGATTCCCTAGGGTCAGTGCCTTTACCTACTGTGGGTTGATGGTGTCCAGTTGTCCTCACTGAGTATTCTCTTACTTCTTGTCCTAAATAAATGGGAGACACAGTCACTGTTGTTCGGCTGCTGAGATGGGAAGGACCCTGGGAGCCAATGATCCTGGGAGCTGCTGGGTGTCCATGCTGTGCATTCACAGCAGGGCTGCCCCTGCCTCTCTTGTTGCTGCTGCCCTTCCCAGTTTAACCAGGCCCCTCCTCAGGTCTGATCCTATCACTGTCAAGTCTGCTGTCTTTCTAACTGATGCTGTGATGCTACTTTGGTGGGGTGGGACGCTCCGAGTCCTGAAGATCGCTGCTCTTCAGTGCTACTGCCCCTGCTAGGCTTTCTCAGTCCCTCCCTCCATCCCTGCTGCTATGTTAACAAAATAGAGAACATACTTTCTTCTTTTTCTTTTGAGGTTTCTTCACTGTTGGGGTTTCTTTTGGAGTTTCTTTTGGAGTTTCTTTTGAGGTTGCATTGGGTTTGGTTGGCTTATTATCCACTCGTTCAATGTCCTCCTTCATTTGTTTTATGCTTCCCTCCTTACTCAGCTTCCTGATGAAAGAGGAAGACAATGCATTTCTAAACTTCACAGGGAGAGGGGTGACCATGACCAACAGACAGTGGGGTACAGGACACAGGAAGGCAGTGATGTGAGGACCACAGAAATTATTGAGAAGCAGACACATAGCAAAGAGAAGCTGGAGTCTAGACACCAAGTGAAGGAAGCCCTTCACTTTCCCAAGCATGGAGGAGATGGAAGTGTAGAAGTAGATGTGGGTCACTTTACCTGCCAAGAGGGATTCTTGCCCAGAAAACCACTATAACGATTAGTGCTATCAGCCCCAGAAAACATTGAGCAGCAATGCCAATAATACCCCACAATGAGAGCTGACGTTGACGTTTCTTTTTACCTGTCATGGAGAGAAACGAGAAGTATCGCGATAAATTCATCCTCACTGGGCACCTGGAAAAGAACTCTGATAGTGTTGCTATCTGTCTCTTCCTTGGGAATGCACTTCCTGTAAGGAGGTCGATAGCAGAGGCGAGGCTATAAGCAGCTTATGCTCTCCCAGTTTTCCCATAAGGACTGTGTTCCTAGGTTGTGCATATATCTCCCCTCAAGTCCTGCGTGTGGAGGAAGAGGGGAATGTGCTTTAGGCTGCAGCCTAAATCATATCCACTCTGGAAGTCCTTGGAAGGCTCTGAAGATGGGAGAAAACCACATAGCTATTTTTTATGTTAAAATTACGGGGTTTTTGATGATTTCATTTTTTTCATTGTCCTAATTGTAGGAAATGTGAATATTCACCTGTATAGTTTCTTGTGGCCAGGAGTTAGTTGAAAGAATGTCTAGGCTAAGTGTACTCTAAATGGCCACTTTTCCTCACAGGGACTCTGTCTTAGCTACAGTCTCTGTTGAGGTGATAAAAGGCCACAATCCCAGAGCACCTCACCAGGCTTGGTAGTACTCCTAAGGACCTGGACCACCCACATTGGTCATCATTCAAGAAAATGCCCCACAGGTTTTCCCTAGATGTGTAATAGATATGTAATTGAAAATTAATTAAGAGAAATATGGTGCCATCTGTGGGGTTTCATGCCTGTGACCCCAGGAATTGAAGGACTGAGGCAAAGGGAATGACATGAGCTCAAGATCAGGCTAGATTACCAAGTTAGTCCCAAGCCCATCTCCAAAACAGCCAAAACAAACACCTGCAGCAAAACCCACCACAATCGCAGCAAGAAAGGGCACCAAGTCAAAATATCCCTCTGTCCAGATTCACCCTGTGGCCAGATGAACCTTGAAAAGTAGGCCTAGGGTTGAGCAGTCTTGGGCATGAAGGGTCCTTACATGCCCAGCTCCCATTCTTTACTGCCTTATACAGACATTGATGCTAAGTGGACCCAAGGCCTAAATGCAAGAACTAAAACTATAAAACACTCAGGAGAGAATCTGTGATGTAAGCTCCATGACATCATGTTTGGCAGCGATACTCTTGACTGTGACACAGAAACAGAGGCCTCATGAAAACTGAAATTTTCTGTGCATCAGAGGCATTGTCAGCTGACCCAGCAGTTCCAGTCTGGAATGTGTACAGCACAGGGGCTGGTGGTCTGTTGAAGAGAGAACACATATCTATAGTGTTCCTTGTTTTAGCACTTGAAGCAGCAAGACAAGGAGAGAATGTGATCTATAAACACACAGTGATACAGTTGAGTTTTTAAAGAAATCAATTCTGTATTTTGAGAACATGGATGGACAGGCACTGGTGTCTATCAGACCCTCAGTTTCAATGCCTTTTTTGTATTTTAAACTTTGATCTCCGGTTACTCATAGAAATTTGCCAGAATAATTGCTTTGTTTGGGTTTGTTTTGTTTTTTTTTGTTTTGTTTTTTTTGTCTCTCCTGAAAATTTGTCTTCTCAAAAGCTGTTTTGCCATCCATAGCAGTATGGTTTCTAACAACAAGAATTAGGTCCTTTAATTGCTCTGCAGAAGTTTCCTCCATGCTGACAGGGAACAATTGAACCGAATTTGGCATTGGGGCCTGCAAGAGGCCCCCAAAATGTTTGCTAATGGAAAAGGGCTACCTTACCTGCCCTTTGTTGATCTGCATTCAATAGTCCAACGTCACCCTTTGCCACACCTTCACATACTCCAGAAGGCTAGACACCTTCTGTTTGGATTATCTCTAGAAAAAACTTGTTCCTAGGAATACCTTGTCTACAGTCTTTTTCAAGATGCCCTGGTTTACCACAATTGAAACATCTGATATTTTGACTTTTCTTAAAATGTCTAGAAATCACTTCTCCTATCCAAGTATATCATCATACGTGTGAGATCCAATATCAACTGTCTGTCTAATGCATTCATCTATCGGTGTTGATCTTGCCTTTGCAGGCATCATCACCCTTTTGCATTCTGAATTAGCATTTTCAAAAGCCAAGCATTCAATTAATATTTGCCTAACTTCTGGATCTGATATCATTCTATTTACAGCTGAAGTTAATCTTTAAAAAAAAATAGGATTTCTTCTGGGCCCTGTATAATTTTAGTAAATGACTCAACTCTGTTTCCTGATTCTCCAGCCCTTTCCCAAGTGTTCAAAGCTCCTATATGGCATAGGGACAAGGTGTGATCATCAAATTTGTCTTTGCAAATCAGCATAATGGCCCTCATTAAGAAGCTGCTCTTATAAGGGGCACATGAATAAAAAGAATGCATGAGAAGATTCTTTTCCTATAGTCATCAGACTTTAGTTTCTATGCTTGTTGTGGCTTCTCTTTTTGAATCCTGAGTGAAATCTTTTAGAATTTGTCCTTAAAAGTTTTCAATACATTTGGTTATAGATGTTTGTCATCATTTAGGGGGGTGATTGCAAGTTGTTACTGGTCATGGTCAGAGAAAAAACTAAACAAAGGAGGTTAGATTTGGAGATCTTGTTCTGAAAAGAAAATGGAAGGGATATGGGAATAGTAGGATTAAAGGGTGGATTATTGAATGTACTTATAAAAAAATTAGGGGCTGGAGAGATGGCTCAGAGGTTAAGAGCACTGCCTGCTCTTCCAAAGGTCCTGAGTTCAATTCCCAGCAACCACATGGTGGCTCACAACCATCTGTAATGGGGTCTGGCGCCCTCTTCTGGCCCGCAGGCATACACGCAGACAGAATATTGTATACATAATAAATAAATAAATATTTAAAAAATTATAAAAAAAAGAAGCTGCTCTTGAGAAATTTCAACACCTCTATCCCTACTTGGTTGTTCTATGACCCTAGCTTCCTCTCTCCACTATGTTTTTCATTGTAACTGAGGACCAGCTTCTAATATTGCTGTAACTAAACTTTCCAGTCTTGTCAAATAATCTTGTTTCTAGTTGCCCATGAATTTAACTTCTGTTTCACAAAAGGTGAATACATGCCATATGAAACTACTGCTTCCTTAAATATCCTCAAATATAACATTTCTATAGGATCCCAATTAACTTCTGCATAGCCTTTGGGCAGCTATCATCTGGTGGTCGTTCTTGTATGGTAACTGGGCATATTAAGAAGAAGATGGCTTCTCAGAGATTCTGCCAAACGGACATGCCATGCTTAGTGTGCTTGGTTTTGGTTTCGTGTCTTACTACCTATTACATGGAATGTACAACCACAGGTATATCAAACAGGTGTGCCATCCCATGTCCCACGAGGACAGCCAGCCATCATGTAAATGTGTCATGGACTTTCTACCCTCACAGTGGTCAGCCTCGGTTGCCCCTTGCAGAGGCACCGTGCAGAGGCCTTGCAATCGTCTCTCCTCAACTCATCTTTGGTTCTGTCAGCCCCTGCTCAGATGCCAGCTGTGTTGTGTGAATTCTCCAGAGGAGATGTTAACAGATGGCAGATCAACCTGACCAGACTGTTTCCTCAAGTCTAGTTTACTGAGGCAGGGAGTGTTTTTTAGGGTTAGTTCTAGGAACATGGGTAGCTGGAAGACAGTCACCTCACAGACAAGCCCATCCCCGCATGGGTAACAGCTCATGAAGCTGCATGCCCGGAGCGCAATGTGCCGCTGCAGACAGCTTGGCCGGTGGGAAAGCCTACTCTCCAGACAAGGCTACTCTCCATACCACCTTGGGGAGAGGTGAGTGGGTATTGTTACATTCAGGAGCTTCCTGAGAATTGTGGGTTTGCTTTCCTTATGACCTCAGCCAAGTGTTTATCTCAGAGGAAACAGCTGCCCAGCTAAAGGACAGGACGTCTGTGAGATAGAAGACTGAGCGGTGCTTCTCAGGGAAGGAAACACTGAGGAGCTATTGGTAGCAGGATATAAACTTCATGTTGGAAAGAGGAACAGGTTAGAAGCAACCCGAAGAGAACTGTGGTCAATGGTTGGGTATATTTCAGAGTAGCCGAGGCGAATTTCAAATGTCTCACCATAACAAATGGGAGATGGATGAGGTAGAGAGTGTTAAATAGCTCAACTTAACCATTCTGTATTGTGCACAGACATCAAAGATCACATGCTACTTCTCCAAACTATGTGCAGTTGGGATGCCAGTTACAGCACTATCAACAAGTAATAGACCAAGTATTAGGAAAGTGGAAAGACCTTTTTCAAGTGCTAAGTATATTCACATATTGTGTATCTGAACATATGCCAAAATACATAAAGAACTCTCACAGTTCAACAATAGGAACAATAAAAACCACAAGTAGCTCAATCAAAAAAGGAAAGGACCTGATATTTTCTAATAAAGAGGAACAGATGACCAATAATGACACCTACTTAGTTCTTGTCTTTTTGAGAGAGGAAATTCACATGAAAAGAGAAAACCTCAATTGAGGAATCACCTGCATCACCTTGGCCAATATTCCTTAATTTCTATTTGGTGGAGGAGGGTTCAATACTATCCAGTGCAGACAGCCCCTTTCTTATAGGCTCCATAAGAAGGGCAGCTGAGCAAGTGAGGGAAGTAAACCCGGAAGCTTCCCCCATGGTTGCTGCCTGCACATCTCTCTGTGACACACTCTGATCAGGACATTTACACCAAATAAACCTGACTGCCAAATTGGTTTAGGTTGTGGTGTTTGGTCCCAGTAACCAGAAAGCTAACTAAACAACACATAAATGCTATGGGGCCATGCATAGTAGTGCATAACTTTAATCCCAGCACTCGGGAGGCAGAGGCAGGCAGATCTCTGTGAGTTCGAGACCAACCTGATTTACAGAACGAGTTCCAGGACAGCCAGGGCTGTTACACAGAGAAACCCTGTCTCAAAAAAGAAAGAAAGAAAGAAAGAAAGAAAGAAAGAAAGAAAGAAAGAAAGAAAGAAAGAAAGAAAGGAAGGAAGGAAGGAAGGAAGGAAGGAAGAAAGAAAGGAAGGAAGAAAGAAAGGTGGTGCACAACTTCAGTCCCAGAACTCTGGGAATTTCAGGCTGGTTAGCCACGAGTATATAGTGAGATCCTGTCTCACAATCAGAAAACAAAAACATGCTTAACATCAGAAGTCATTGTAAAAATGCACATAATACTACTCAGAACAACAAGGTAACAGTGTCTCTCAGGCGGGGAGTGTTTGATGTTCAGCCTTTGTGGATGTGGAGGGAAAGTCAGCTGGGCATTAAAACCTGCGTAGTGTAGGTTTTTTTAAAAAAAAAAAAAAAGTTTTGTCTTATCATTTTTAATTACATGGAGGAGTATGTTTACATGTGGGTATGTGCATGCAAATGTGGCTACATACAGAAGCCAGAGCATCCCATCTCCTGGAACTGGAATTACAGATGGTTGTGAGCCACCATGCGATTGCTGGGACTGAACTGGGTCCTCCAGAAGGGCAGTCAGTGCTCTTAACTCATGGAGCCGCCTCTCTAATCCCAGTGGAGGTTCTTATCTTTTAAAACCATCTGTGTTGTCAGGTCTCAAGCCTGTAATCCTAATAGTCAGGAAGCTGAAGCAGGATGATCATTATGGGTTCAAGACCAGCCTGGGCTACATAGTTCCACTATATCCTAAGATACAGAATGAGACCACATCCTTACAATCCAGAAAAACCAAACTAATATTAGATACAGTAACTGTGTGTGTGTGGATATGGTCAGAAGCGAGGGTGCAGTGAGCTCAACAAGCATCTGCTTCTCACCTACAGAGCAGCCGTGTTCACAGCAGCCACAGCCAGGAAGAGCCCAAAAGCCCTTAACGGTTCCATGAATAACAAAATTATAGTTTATCCACACACTGGAACAATCATAAGACAGGAATTTTTTTAATAAAAATGAGAAGTCAGTCATGGTGGTTCATCTTTATAATACCAACATTGAAGAAAGGCTGAAGCAGGAGGGTGGAGGCTTGGGATTCCAAGATCAGACCAAAAAAAATCTAGTCTTTAACTTTAAAAAGAAAGGTGGGATCTGGCATGCTGCAGTGTAGAAGAACTAGAAATTATGTAATGTGATGTAAACCTGATTTAAGAATCGATATTGTTTTATTCAACTTCCATGAAAGGTGCAGGGGAGTCAAATAAGCGAAGAGTAGAGTTGTCATTACCGGAACTGGAGGGTAGGAATGGGGCAATGTTGTCTATGTGTGTGTGTGTGTGTGTGTGTGTGTGGGTGTGTTGGGTGTGTGTGCCAGGCATGTGCATGGGGTGGCACATGTGCACATACATGCAGAGTCCAGGACTCAGTGCTTCCCTGACTTCTTCAGTGAGAGAGGATCTCGACAACCTCACAGCTAACTAGAGTCAGCTCTAGGGATCTCCTTTCTCCACCTTGCCAGCTCTGAGTACAGACATGTGCTTCCATGTACTGCTCTTTACACAGATGCTTGGTATCTAAACTAGGTCTTCATGCCTGCTTGGCAAGCACATTGCCAGCTGAGCCATTGCCTGGGACCCACAAATATTTCTGAATAGGGCTATAGATTTGTATATTTCAGTTTGGACATGGATAGGGACCATAGCTATACAACACTGAATATGCATAATGTCGCTGAACTGTATGCTTCAAAATGGCTAAAACAAAATATATATGATATATATAGCATATTGTGTGTGTGTGTGTATGTGTGTGTGTGTGTGTGCACGTGCACACACACACAAAGAAACATACAGAAAATAATCTTGTGCAGGTCACACTCTAAATGGTGAAATAGAAGAGGAAACAATTCCATTCACAACTTTCTTCTCCCTGGATTAAATCAAACTCAGGTAGGAGAAATTCAGAAGAATCCAGATGTGGGGTGCACATCTGTAAGAGCAGCACCTGGGAGGTGGAGGCAGGAGGATCAAGAGCTGAGGACAGTCATCACTGACGTACTGTGAGGATACCTGGGCTGCATGAGACACTGTCCTCCCAAAACCAAAAGATCCCAACAAACAAAACATTCCAGAACGATTGTCCATGCACTGTGAACGGCACAGGCATTTCCGGGCATCGCTTCTCACTAACAGAGCAGCTCTTTGCCTAGCGCTGCTCTGTATCACGACGTGCAGTGTGTGGGACAGCATCCATCCACAGGGTCTGATATCAGTGCTTCCTGGAGCCAGTTACCCATGGATACCCAGGACCTCATGCCTGACTCAGAGCTCAACCCTTAACCACTTGCTAATTGGGTTTACAGTCTTGGTTTTATTTGCTTTCAAACACTTTAGAGACAGGGTCTTGCTCTGTAGCCCAGGCTGGCCTTACTCTCCATCCTCCTGCCTCAGCCTCCCAAGTAGGGGTAATAACTGGATGGCACTATGCCTCACTATACGGCCCCATGTCTGTTGTCTATTTTGCACAGTGTTGGTAAAAACAAATTCCCCCAGTAAGGATCCTGGGAGATGGTACAGCAGGAACAATAGCTTATTGTACAAAACTGATGATCCAAGTTCAATCCTCGAAATCCAGGAGAGATCTGCCTTCATTTGACTGTCCTCTAACCTGCACACATACACATGGCTCTCACGTCACCCTAAAATTATAATAAAATAGTTCTTAAAAATACAATTCTTAAAAAAAATGTGGGGAAGGAGGGGTCACTCACTTAACACATTCAGGTAGAATGGTTCACTCTGGTTGTAAGTGAAGGAGTTGGCGGTCTCACACTGATACATCCCAGCATCTTCCATTTTGAGTCTGGGTATAAAAATCACTCTACTACTTAGTAACAGTGAAACCCTGGCTGAAAGGTGTACTGTCATTGGGTTTCCATTGTGGAGCCATGTTACTTGGGTTCTGTTGTCATTTCCCACACAGGTCATGTTCATGGAGTCTCCTTCTTTGTAAGTCAGGCTGGCAGCGATGAGGCGAGGTTTTGGCAGTGGAGCTGTGGACAAAGAGAGGACAGGATCAGCTGAGAAGTGTCTTCTCTCACAGGTTTGAGCAGCTCTTGGGGGCCCACTATGTAAAGTATCAATCTCCCCACAGTTGTCCCCAAATCTCAGAGACCATGAGTCTCAGTTCAGGAGACAGTCTCTAGGGTCTTTGAGGCCCAAGTCACTTAGAGCATCCCCTAACTTAACTCTGGGGTTTGTCTGTCAGAGTGTATACCTGGGTGTCCACCATCTGCCCCATGGGATGAGATGTTTCCCCCCACTGACTCGCTTATGCTTATCAATGCTAAATTTTCATAAAAACAATAGGTTTCACCCTGGCATTTCCAGTGTGTATCATCGTACTGCGCTCACTTCCATCCCATCTTTACTCTCGTTTGTCCCCTACATTCTTTCTTGTCTACTTCATCGGCAAAATGTCCCCCTCTGCATTTACCTCTCACATACATACATACATGCATGTACACATACCCATGCACACGTGTGTATGGAGGTGTCTTCTCAGTAGGGCCTCAGTGAACATGGATGTGTAGGTAACTCTGTGAAGTGCTGACTTAGATGCTTTTGGGTTTACCCCAGAAGAGTGACAGCTGGACAGTGTGGTAGTTATGGAGTTGGCTGCTAAGGAACCTCAGTACTGATGTTCAGGCTACAGTAACAAAAACATGCAGTACATGCAGTGCCCTTTCGCCCTGCATCCTAATCTGTGTTTTCTCAGCAGCCAGTCTGGCTGAGATGCTCTGCAATGTCCACACAGTTTTCATTGCATTTGTTCATAGACAAAGGATTTACCTGCTTTCCCATATGCTTTTATGGATATTTCTATTTCTTTCGTAGAATACTGTCTGCTTAACTCACTGACCCATTTATTGATTGGAATATTTGGGTTTTTGTTTATGTTTCTGATTCTTTTGTTACACGTGTGTGTTCCTGTGTACTCACTTGCATGTGGAGGCCTGAGGTGGACGTCAGATGCATAGTACATCTTCCAGATGACAGTTTGAGGTCAGAGCTCAGGTCCTCATGCTTAATAGAAAGCACATTATCCACTGAACCATCTCCTGGCCCTTGAGCTCTTCATATATTCTTAGTATTTGTCTCCTTTCGTGTGGAGATACATCGACGCTCCCATTCTGGCGGTCACCAGTTTGCTGTGACAAATGCTAGGAGGAATTGCTGAAACTGCATGGACTTCCTTGCCACCTTTGCTGTTGTTCTCTGACTCTGCCACTCATTCTCAGAGTGTCTTTGCTGTACTCATAATGTGAATTCTCCCTGCGTTTCCTCTACTTCTTCCAGTTTCATGTCTTTATGAAGCAGGATTGGTTTCATGTAGCCCAGGCTGGCTCAGACTTGCTATGCTGGCAAGGATGAGTGTGAACTTCTGATCCTCTCACTTCTCTACCTCCCAAGCATGGGAGCTCATGTGTGCACCTCCATGCCCAGTTCGTGTGCTGCTGGGATCAAAGCTAGGGCTTCGTGGGTGGTAGACAAGCACTCTGCTGACAGAGCAATGTCCCAGACCCCTGAAAGATGGCTTTCATTTCTTCTTCCCCGTGTGGATATGCAGACTGCCCCACCCCCATTTGTTGGGAAGGTGTCATTTCTTCAGTGTCTACTTTGACAACTTTGTTGGCAAGCAGGTGGCTGTAGCTATCTGAGTTCATTCCTAGGCTATCCCTCTATGCCAAGACTTCTTAATATTTTCCAGTCGTGGCCCTGTTTATCCTGAGAATTATATGACCCTAGGTATATAGCTGTGATGGCTATTCTTGTCAACTTGACTATCTGGAATAGAGGGCACACTTGTGATCTGGATCTTAAGGCAGAAAGACAACACGCCTTCATTCTGCACCTTGAGGTTGGACAGTAATATGCCTTTGATCTAGATCTTGAGGCAGGATGACACACCTTTAATCTGGGCCACACCTTCTACTGGATGCCTATATAAGAATATAAGGGCAATGGAAGGATGACGGGTTCATTCCTTCTTGGCCTGCTTGCCCGAGCTTCATCAGCTCATCCATTCCATCACTGACATTGAAGCCTACTTCTCCAGGACTCCAGCATTTGCAGAGGACCAGCTGAGATACACATCCTCCTGGGACTGAAGAACTACTAGATTCGTAAACTTTCCATTCACAGCCAGTCATTGAAGGGCTGCAGCCTGGAACTCATTCCAATAAATCTCCCACACACAGAGAGTGGGGGAGGGGAGGGGAGAGAGAGAGAGAGAGAGAGAGAGAGAGAGAGAGCATGTGTACACAAGTGGAGGTGTGTATGGAGGCCAGAAGAGGACGTCGGATGCCTTCTGCGACAACAGGGGTGTGGGAACTGAACTTGGGTCCTCTGCCAGAGCTGCTTCACCTACCTCTTAACCACAGACCGCTGTCTCTGGGCCTTAGACTTTCTTGATATGTCTGGTAGAATTGGGCTTCTCTTTGGGGAGATTTTCAATGACAGTTTCCCTCCAATTAGACGGTTTAGGTCGGCATGATTTGCTTTTACATCTTGAGTTCATTTTGTCTGGTCGCGAGTAAAGGAATTTATCCCTTCTTCCTTTCCCAGCTTTTTAGTATATATGTTTTCAGGACATTTCTTGGTTTATAATATATAATTTTATAATTTTTTATTTTAAAAAAATTCACTTTATATACCAACCACAGTTCCCCCTCCTTTCCTTCACCCACTTCCCCACACCTCACCCCCACCTCAAACTCCATCTACTCCTCAGAGGGGTAAGGCCTCCCTTTGGGAGACAACAAAGTCTAGCATACCAAGTGGAGGCAGGATCAAGCCCCTCTCCCCTGCATCAAGGTTGAGCAAAGCATCCTCTATAGCAAGTGGGCTCCAAAAAACCAGTACATACACCCAGGATAAGTCCTGCTCCCACTGCCAGGCCCACAAACAGATCAAGACACACAACTGTCACCCACATTCAGAGGGTCTAGTTCGGTCCCATGCAGGTTCTCCAGCTGTCAGTCCAGAGGCTTAAGCTCCCACTAGCTTGGGTCAGTTGTCCTGTGGGTTTCCTCATCGTAATCTTGACCCCTGTCTCTCATGTCATCCCTTCTTCCTCTCTTCAGCTAAACTCCAGGAGCTCAGTACAGCACTTGGCTGTGGATCTCTGCATCTGCTTCCGTCAGTTTCTAGATGTAGGTGCTATGATGACAAGCAGGATAGTCATCAATTTGATTACTGGGAAAGGCCAGTTCAGGTGCCCTCTTCACTATTGCTAGGAGTCTTAGTTGAGGTCATCCCTGTGGATTACTGGGAATTTCCTAGTATTAGGTTTGTCCCTAACCCCATAATGGCTCCCTCTATCAAGATATCTCTTTCATTGCTCTCCCTCTCCATCCTTCCACCAACTCAGCGATCTCCATCCCTCATGTTCCCATCTCTCACTCCCTCCCCATGACACCCCCTCCCAGTTTACTCAGGAGATCTTAACTATTTCCCCTTCCTGGAAAGATCCATGCCTGTCCCTCTACTAGTCCTCCTTTTTAACCTAGCTTCTCCGGAGATGTGGATTGTAGCCTGATTAACTTTTGCTTTCTGTCTAATATCCACTTACCTATGATTGCATACTATATTTGTCTTTCTGAGTCTGGGTTACCTCACTCAGTATGATTTTTTTTTAGTTCCATATATTTTCCTACAAATTTCATGGTGTCATTGTTTTTTACCGCTGAGTAATACTCCATTGTGTAAATGTACCATATTTTCTTTATCCATTCTTCAGTTGAAGGTCATCTAGGCTGTTTCCAGGTTCTGGCTATTACAAATAATGCTGCTATAAACACAGCTGAGTAAATGTCCTTGTGGTGTGACTGAGCATCTTCTGGGTATAGGCTCATGAGTGACATTCAGCACATTTCTTAACAGTCCTCTCAATATACATGATGTCTCTTGCCATGCCTTTTACTCACAGGGTTTAGATATTTATGTCATCTCTATCTTTTGTTTGGTTTCCCCCAGGGCATGTTGATTTCATGTGTCTTTTCAAGAAACTAACTCTTCATTTACTTGATTTCTTTGTAGGGTTGCTTTAGTATCAGTTCCATCAATTTGTCTTGATTTAATGCCAGCATGCCATTCGCTCTTTTGTGATTATTTGTTACTTTTCTTCAATCCTGTATTATATCAAAAATAAGTCTTTTGCATTTCCTCTGATATTTTCTTGTTTGTTTTTGTTGAAGCAGTGTTTCCCATAGCTGAGGCTGGCCATAAGCATGCTGTGTATCTGCAGATGACTTTGAGATCCTGCTCTTCCTTCCTCGGCATCCCCAGTGCTTGGACAGTACCATGTTTGCCTCCGGCCTCCATCTTGTTCTCTCTTCATCTTAAGGAAGAGTGTGTTTGACCTCGGGTGCAGGAATGCTGTTCATCCTAATAGGCAAGATGTGGCTGGCATGAGCAGAAGGAGGCTGCCCACATGTGCCCACAGTTAGAAAGCAGAACAGCTGGCTTTCTCCTTTTGACACCGTCCTGGAAACCAGTCCACATTTAGCATGGGTCATCCTCCACAATTACCCCCATCTAGATAATTTCTACAGACAAGGCCAGTAATGTTCTTCAGTAATGCCAGCTCTGATCACATTGACACCACTAACCATCACAACTACAACCCAAGTTCTTATGATGGTAGTTTTGGTTTTTGTATGTGCGTGGTGTATGTGTGTATATGTGTGCACATGGGTGTGCATCCATGTCCTCTGAGGGCGAGTGTGGAGACCAGGAGTCAGTGTTGGGTATCTTTCTCAATTGCTCTCCTCCTTCTATCTTTAGACAGTCTGTCACTAAGTCTGCAGGGAGAAGACAGGGTATCTGGGGAAGAGAGTGTCTCCTGAATCAGAGGGTCACACAGGAGGACTGGGATCTGCTTGTCACTGTGAACACAAGCTATGGAGTTCATTTCTCCCCATTCTTTACAGAAAGCCAGACACCACTACAAAGATCAGCCCTGATGTTCCAGACATTCACTTACAATAGACTGTAACTTCTCTGACTGTGGAATTAGTGACATTCCTTGTAGGATTAGAAGCAGTGCAGACATATCTTCCAGTATGATTTAATGTGGCATTGTTGATGTTTACTTCTTTTGAAGCATTCCAGGGCTTCCCATTGAAAGTCCAGAAATACTGTGCTTTTGGCTGAGACTCTGACTCACAGAATATCCTTATCTTTGATCCTACCTGGAATAAAGTGTCTGAAGGAGACAATATGGGGGAATCTGGGCCATCTGGAGGAAAGAGAAAGACGTGATGTCACGAGAGAGTAAAGAAAGATCTTGTTAATCATTGCCAAAATCCTTTTATGAAGCTACAGTTACCCTGATACCCAAACCACACAAAGACTCAACCAAGAAAGAGAATTACAGGCCAATCTCACTCGTAAGAAGTGTAGTATGAAGCTACAGTTACCCTGATACCCAAACCACACAAAGACTCAACCAAGAAAGAGAATTACAGGCCAATCTCACTCGTAAACATCGACGCAAAAATTCTCAATAAAATACTGGCAAACAGAATCCAAGAACACATTAGGAAAAATTATACATTATGGTCAAGTAGGCTTCATCCCAGAGATGTAGGGCTGGTTCAACATACACAAATCTATCAATGTAATCCATCATATAAATAAACTGAAAGAAAAAAAACCATATGATCATTTCATTAGATGCTGAAAAAGCATTTGACAAAATTCAATACCCCTTTATGATAAAGGTCTTGGAGAGATTAGGGATACCTATATTTAGGTATACCTATATTTAGGGATACCTATATTTAGGTTCATACCTAAATATAATAAAAACAATATACAGCAAGCCGACATTTAACATAAAATTAAATGGAGAGAAACTCAAAGTCATTCCTCTAAAATCAGGAACAAGACAAGGCTGTCCACTCTCTCCATACCTCTTCAATATAGTGCTTGAAGTTCTAGCAATAGCAATAAAACAACATAAGGAGATCAAGGGGATTCAAATTGGAAAGGAAGAAGTCAAACTTTCGTTATTTGCAGATGATATGATAGTGTACATAAGCGACCCCAAGAACTCTACCAAAGAACTCCTACAGCTGATAAACACCTTTAGAAATATGGAAGGATACAAGATCAACTCCAAAAAATCGGTTGCCCCCCTATACACAAAGGATAAAGAAGCAGAGACGAAAATCAGAGAAGCATCACCTTTCACGATAGCCACAAATAACATAAAGTATCTTGGGGTAACTCTAACCAAGGAAGTGGAAGACTTATTTGACAAGAACTTTAAGTCTTTGAAGAAAGAAATTGAAGAGGATACCTGAAAATGGAAGGATTTCCCATGCTCTTGGATTGGGAGGATCAACATAGTAAAAATGGCAATTCAACCAAAAACAATCTATAGATTCAATCAATTCCCATCAAAATCCCAACAAAATTCTTCACAGACCTTGAGAGAACAATAATCAACTTCATATGGAAAAATAAAAAACCCAGGATAGCCAAAACAATCCTATGCAATAAAAGTACTTCTGGAGGCATTACCATCCCTGACTTCAAACTCTATTACAGAGCTACAGTAATGAAACAGCTTGGTACTGGCATAAAAACAGAGATGTTAACCAATGGAATCGAATTGAAGACCTGGATATTAACCCACAAACCTATGAAAACCTGATTTTCGACAAGGAACCTAAAAGTATACTATGGAATAAAGAAAGCATCTTTAACAAATGGTGCTGGCATAACTGGATGCCAACCTGTAGAAGAGTGAGAATAGATCCATATCTATCACCATGCACAAAACTCAAGTCCAAATGAATTAAAGACCTCAATATAAATCTGATCACACTGAACCTGATAGTAGAGAAAGTGGGAAGTAGTCTGCAACACATGAGCACAGGAGACCACTTCCTACGTATAACCCCAATAACACAAATAATAAGAGCAACAATAAATAAATGGGACCTCCTGAAACTGAGAAGTTTCTGTAATGCAAAGGACACTATCATTAAGATAAAAAGGCAACCTACTGAATGGGAGAAGATCTTCACCAACCCCGCATCAGACAAAGGTCTGATCTCCAAAATATATAAAGAACTCAAGAAACTAGACTTTAAAACTCTAATTAACCCAATTTTAAAATGGGGCACTGAACTGAACAGAGAATTCTCAACAGAAGAAGTTCAAGCGGCCAAAAGACACTTAGGGTCATGCTCAACCTCCTTAACGATCTGGGAAATGCAAATCAAAACAACTTTGAGATACCATCTTACACCTGTCAAAATGGCTAAAATCAAAAACCAATAATAACCTATGCTGGAGAGGTTGTGGAGTAAGGGGAACACTCATCCATTGTTGGTGGGAATGCAAACTTGTGCAACCACTTTGGAAATCAGTGTGGCGGTTTCTCAGAAACTGGTAGTCAACCTACCTCAGAATCCAGCAATTTCTCTCTTGGGAATATACCTAAGAGATGCCCAATCATACTACAAAAGCATTTGTTCAACTATATTTATAGCAGCACTGATTTTAGTAGCCAGAACCTGGAAACAAATTAGGTGCCCCTCAATAGAAGAATGGATAAAGAAGGTGTGGCACATATACACTTTAGAGTTCTACTCAGCGGTAAAAAATAATGACATCTTGAATTTTGCATGCAAATGGATGTAAATAGAAAACACTTTACTGAGTGAGATATCCCAGACCCAAAAAGATGAATATGGTATGTACTCACTCCTAAGTGGATTCTAGTCATAAACAAAGGACATTGAGCCTATAGTTCATGATCCTAGAGAATCTAAATAAGAAGGTGAACCCAAAGAAAAACATATATTTATCCTCCTGGATATTGGAAGTAGACAAGATCGCCGGGCAAAAGTTGGGAGCAGGGGGTGGGAGTGGGTTGGGGGAAGGGGAGATGGGAAGAGAGAAGGGAGAAGGGGAGGACTGGGGAGAGCTTGGGGGAATGGGATGGTTGAGATGGAGGAAGGGTGGATATGGGAGCAGGGAAGAAGATATCTTAACTAAGGGAGCCATTTTAGGGTTGGCAAGAGACTTGACTCTAGAGGGGTTCCCAGGTGTCCAAAGGGATTTCTCCAGCTAGGTCCATGGGCAACAGAGGAGAAGGTGACTGAACTGGCCTTGTCCCATAGCCACACTGATGAATATTTTGCATATCACCATAGAACCTTCATCTGGCGATGGATGGAGATAGAGACAGAGACCCACATTGGAGCACTGAACTGAGCTCCCAAGGCCCAGATGAAGAGCAGAAGGAGGGAGAACATGAGCAAGGAAGTCAGGACCATGAGGGGTGCATCCACCCACAGAGACGGTGGGACTGATCTAATGGGAGCTTACCAAGGCCAGCTGGACTGGGACTGAATGAGCATGTGATTAAACTGGACTCTCTGAATGTGGCTGACAATGAGGGTGGACTGAGAAGCCAATGATAATGACATTGGATTTTGATTCTACTTCATGTACTGGCTTTTTGGGAGCCTAGTCTGTTTGGATGCTAACCTTCCTAGACCTGGATGGTGGGGCGGGGGGAGGGGGGCTTGGACTTCCCACAGGGCAGGGCACCCTGACTTCTCTTAGGACTGGAGAGCGAGGGGGAGAGGGAGTGGGAGGAGTGGGAGGGAAATGGGAGGATGGGAGGAGGTGGAAATTTTAAATAAATAAATAAATAAATAAAAATAAGGGGAAAAAAGAAAGATCTTGTTCTGTAGACGGGTCACGGCATCCTTGAGTCAAGTGACAGGGGTGTTTTATAAAATGTCCCAAGCAGGCCTGGAATTAGATCATTTGTAGAGTAGCTGCCTCACAAGGGCTCATGGGCCTCCCCGTCACATCTCTCACACAAAGGATCCCACCTCGCTCCGTGTACTGCAACTGTGATGTGTGGCTTCCCTGCTTCCTATCACTTGTAGTCTCAAGTCTCTCACACAGAAGCACCTCTCCCATCTCTGTGCAGGGCTTGGCCTCCAAGGATGTGTGTGAGCAGACAGTATTGCCAACCTGGGAGTTCAGGACCAAGAGCTGGTGTCATGGACCTGAGCCCTGTGAAGTATGGTCACAAAGCACGTGTGTTTGGACAGCTTTGGGACCACGGGGAAATAGAAGTTACTCACAGATAATCTTCAGTTCCAGTTCTTTGCTCCTATGTCTATTTGCTGGGTTCCTGATTTCACAAACATAGGTTCCATTGAATTTTCTGGTGACGTTACGTAAAGTGAGTTCTCCGGGACTTGAAGACCGGATGACATTACCACTTTCTTCAATCTCCCTACCATTAAGCCGCCATTTGTACATCGTCAGTTTAACTACAGGTTTACATCTGAACTGAATGGTGTCTTGATACTCCACAGCTGTAGTCCCATTGATTGTGCAAGAGATATTTTTGACCCAAGCTGTGTAGACAACAGAAAAGAATGGTCAGTGTGGTTCTGGAAACCCAAAAGTCCTCTCTCTACAAGTATAGGGCCACTCTCACCGCAGACAGAAGCCCGAGGCTCTGGGGACTCAGCCCCTGGGATCCCCTGCACTGGGTGTGGGGTGGAAAAGCACTGGCTTTCTCATGTGTGAACTGAGCTGCAGTGATTACTTGTGGACTGACCCAGAAACTGCAGCAACCCTTCCTGGCTCTCCTGGTCCTCACTGCCTGACCTTAGGCCATGGAGGGTGGGGGCTTGTCCCCCTCCAGCTGTGTTGCTCACCACTGCTCAGCCTGAACAGGAGCCCTCTGGGACTTTGCTTTTCAAGACTGTTCTACTGGTGGTTCATGGTGGCACTTCCCATTGTTCTTTTACTGAGATGGTCACAGCCTGTCCAGAGGTCTGGGCATGTGAACAGATGTCACACACGGGAGCCATGAAGCAACCCTGGCATTTGGGTCCAATAGCCATCTCAGACCCCAGTGTATAGCATTCATGTCTATTGTGGTTATTGAGCCAGTGACCTCTAAAGAGGAGCCCAAGAAATTATCAGCAGACTAAGAAGGACAGACAGGCTTCGGAGTATGTCCTGATTCTGTTCTTGGGCCAGAGACCATGTGAGACAAGTGTTCTCACATGCAGACATGACTGGCACAGCACAGAGAACAGGGACTTAAGAATGCAGGCACTCACGTGTCATGAGTGCTGACACATCTGCGAGAGAAAGGAAGACCACAGACATCTCAGTGACAAGTGATTGACACACAGGTTCTTAAGCCTATTCCAGAGAGGAAGAGCTTCCTGCAGAGTGTGAGAAGTCTTATACCAAGCTCTGAAGTCCTGCAGGGTCACATATGATGAATGGGAGATGTGGACAGTGACTTGGGTCACACGGTTCTTCTGTAGAGAGATCTGCTGTGGGGACAGATCTGTTCAGAGGCAAGTTTGAGGTCTCTGTCATGGGAAAGACTGGAGGACTGCATGTGTAGGGAAGTGTAGTGTCGTGTTAGTGCATTCCCAGGAGTGGAGGTCCCCAGCTGCTCTGGAGAGTCAGGCAGAGTACGGGGGAGCCAATAAATGCACGTGAAGTGCTTTATCCCTTTACTTTTGGACCCAGAAATCACAACTGGGGCTGTGTCAATTCTCCCAAGGGGGACAAAGTTAGAATTGGCGTCACCTTCAGTATGCTACCATCTGAGAACACCCACCCTGTTCCACCAGTGATATCCTGAAAAAACAGTTACATGTGGAGAAGGATAAATCCATCTCAGCATTGGTTGGACAAGCTCCCTCTTGAAGGGCCTAGAAACCAGGGAGGAACATGGGCCACCTCTAGTGGAATAGGGATGCTGTCCCAGTCAGTAGCAAAGCCGGGAAGGAGCCTGGTCTTCGTGACTTGCAGGTCTGGCAGTCTGTCTCAGACCCCATGCCTCTCAGGGTAGAAAGAGGAAGGAATTGATCTGTCATGTCTCATGGCCTGCTTCAACTGTCAGTCACACAAGAGCCCTAGATTCGACACAGCCACTTCTGGACATTTACTCATAATTGACACAGTGATTGCTGGAGCATTGGCTCACAGGAGCTGCTGCTTCTACTGATTTCTGTGCCATTTGCTATTGCCCTGGAGGGAATACCTAGCTCAGGGGTCAGTGAATAAGGAATTGATGCTCTGACATAGACTGCAGGGAAGGTCAACAAAGGCAGGGATACTTCTGCCTGGAATGAGGAAAGAGGAGGTGAGGGGCAGGGGTCTCACATGTCTTCCAAGTCCACGTAGACCATGAACTCCATGGATTCTCCCAAACTAAACCAGCAGACCAGCAAGACGGCTTTAGTGATAAAGGCACTTGCACAAGGCTAATGTCTGAGTTCAATTGCTGGAACCATAGAGTATATGGAGGAATGATTCTCGCCACTTGTCCGACGGGTTCCACACAGGCACTGGTGTTTGTGTGTCCCATTCCCTCCCTCCACATTAGTAAAGGTAATTTAATTGAAAATATATAGCCAAACCAGAATATTCCTGAGAGCCTCCTACATCCCAGCAGCCTTAGAGGCAACCTGTGATGGGCTTCTGGGAGAGGGGACCCTAGGAGCAGGGGTCAGAGATTGGAAGAAAGTCTCAGCCTCCAGGCGGACCAGGAGTAGTTGTTGTCAGAATGTCCCAGATTCTGTTTGATTTTAGTTTCTTTGAAAAGTTCCAGGACTGTTCCTTCATCCACACATCCATGCATTCACTGCTCATTGTCCTGATTTGTGTGGTTCTGTTGCAGACTAGAAAGGATTGTGTGTGTGATCTAAACACACACCAGTCTCTCTCCCTAGCTTCCTGTCTATGGGGAAAGCACCTGACCCAGCAGCTCCACAGGCGCCCCGGAAGAAACCCAGCCATGGAGGACTGGGCTGTAGCGGACATCTCGTCCTCTACCCAGCACTCACGCCGCACTCACGCCCCCCTCCCGCCCCCGTGTGGCCCGGAGTCAGCAGCGGCATTTCCCACGCTTTGGTTTCCTTTCAGCAGGGTAGCTGGTGTGGGGATTACTATCTTGTCTGTAGATGACTCTCATGGTGCTCACAGTCACCTGATCTTGGTAAAAAGACCTCCTTCATGAAAACCCAGGTTCCTTAGCCAGTCCTCAACTGAGTCCTCAGGATATTCCCCAGAGCCATGGTCCCTGGGACAGGGACAGGCATGGCAGACTTTCCGCAGTGTGGAAGCAGGGGAAGTAGTCTCCTCTTCTCAGGTCTGTTTCCACCATGGGTGTCCTCCACTAAGTGCTCCTAGTAAGGGACCATGATGTAGAAAGGACATTAGGTCCGGTCGGGACTGAAAAGCTGTGTGTGAGAAATGCCCCGCTCAGCTGCTAGGGACCACAGGGAATCACTTACGGTATACTTTAAACCGTATAGGTCCTTTGGTCGATTCTTCATTCTTGACACGTACAGTTCCCATGAAGTTACCTGAGAAGTCCAGAGGGATATTTTGTATCTTCAAACTTCCATTTCTGTATATCGTTTCTCTTCCAGTGAATACGTTTCCTTTCTCTGTTTGATTAGTTTCTATGTTTATTTTCATTATACGTTGCATTAATGTAACACCGCTTATTGATCTGGTCCATTCTATGTCTGTAGCATTCGATGGTATTCCATGTTTGAAATGTAAGAAAACAGTCTCACTTTCCAAAACATGTTTTGGTACTATATTAATCTCCGCCCACTTGCAACAAACGACTGTGCTCAAGGATAAAAATGTGCCTACAGAGGAGAGAGAAACCCATCAATAGGAGACTTTATTATGAGATAAAAGATGGAGCTCTCAATCATGACATGGTGTGCATTTTCTTCACTTGAATGCGTGTGTGAGTTGTTAGTGCACCTGTGTGTGCATGCATTTGTGTGTAAATGCATTGGGCATGTATAAGCATGCATGCGCATATGCATGAATGCATGTGTACCCACGTGCATGCAAGTGGGTGTGAATATGTACATGTGTGTGTGTATGTGCATGCAACCATATAGAATTGTATGTCTTTGCAAGTGTGTGCATGCATGTGGGTGTGTGTACATATATGCATGCATGAGTGTGTGAAACCTCTGTTTCCTGCTCAAGAGATCCTGGCTCATATCTTTCTCATCTTCCCATGCTCTCTCTCTTCTTGCTTCCTGTCACCCTCTGACCTCATCTACTAGATGTCTGTGAGGGTCTCTTTCTGCTCAGTATGATGCGGCCCCCCTGAGGACAGAGACATGTTGTAGCTGTGGTGTCTGAAAAAGGCTTACACCCCTGTGCAGGTATGAGCGTGTGCACCCCATAACTCTTATGTCAAAAGTTTGATCATCCCAGTTTTATTTGTATAGAGAGAGTCACCCTGATGTAGTTACAATACCAGTGTGAAGAACATGGTGGAAAGCAGGAGTTAGTGTTGGACTAGTGAGAACTGAGCGTTTTAGTTCTTACTCCTAGTTCACTGAAGGGTTCCTATTTTGAGGATCTGTCTGGCTTCCTATTGTCTCCTAGACTCAAGCAGATGCCCTGTGGCCTCTCTCCATTCTCTTCTCCCCAGGAAACCCTTGCTCATTCCTGCTCATCCTCCCCACTCCATCCCCAGGGTGGATCCCTCACCTGTGAACAGAAAGACCCACCAGAGGATGTTCCCTGTGTGGGGAGGGGTTGAGAGGAGCTGCATGATCTCTGTGTTGGCTCTGTTCCCCTCTGAGGAGAAGAGCATCAGCCCCAGCACTCCCCTTAGGCCTGCCACTCTGATGTCAGCTCTGCAGCTCTTCTGAGCTTGGTCTCCTCCCAGGGTCACATGAGCTGTGGGGACAGATGTCTGCTCAGGACTCCTCCTTGTCCTCTGCTTCCCTAGTGTTAATTTTCAGCCCTCCATGTTTCAGACTGATGGGGACCTGTCTCCTAGGAGGACAACTGCCCAGCCTAGCAATGACCTCTGCTGTGTTCTGTCCTCGGAATGGACATCACAGAGAGAGGCCCTGGAGTCCCCAACAAGGGCTTGCTTTCTTTTGTGACACAGCAAGCTGCCTGGTTTTCCCAGTGTCTGACACTCCCTCTCAAGCAGGATTCACTCCAACAGGAAGGGACAGATGCTGCAGGATGATAAGGGACCATCTGAATCACAACTGATTTGAGAACTGTCCTATATGCTTGCCAGCGTCATGGCCCCTGTCTCACGGACAGACATACAAGATCACTTATCTCAGAAGGAGCTTCACGTACTGAGCCTGGAAGAGGAGGCATTATGTGTGTCTTGGAAAAGATGGGGTCTGGCCAGGTGAGAGATTGGGAGGCCATGAGCTCCACTGTCTTCAGGTGGTTCAGGAAGACACTCTGTGTGTGGGCAGATCTGGGATCAGGTCAGCTCCTGTTATGGGAAGCGTCTGTTCCCTCCCCCAGGTAACTCTCTTGAGATCTATTGCATTTATCTGTGGGAGATGAAGTAGAGGGAGCACACAGGGAGTCCTGATAGAGCAGGCTCAGGTCAGGGTACAACAGGCACTGGGGGAACTTCTAGGATCTGTGGAAACAAAGGCTGGTAAACAGGCTGTGTCTGCACTTCCTTAGCTAGCACCATGTTCAGGTCTCCAAGACTGAATTTGATGAGTGTTGATGCTGTATCCTGATGTGGCCTCTGGAAGACAGACATGGTGGACCCAAAACACCTCTCTGTGGAGCACTGGGCTGATGTCTGCTGAAGTCCTTTGACACACTTGAAATCCATACTAATACTAATAAACAGCTTTTATCTGTAGTGCCCCTTAAGTTTATTTTTCTGTATATGAGCAAGAATATCAGTGGGGGACAATGGTCAGTTTGACTCACCAGTTGCCAAGTGTCCTGCTTGGCTGAGTATGAGATGAAAGGACCTTGTGGGAGCACCACGACTTGGACACTCAGGGATGCTTCAAGGAAGCTCCAGCACCGCACATGAGGTGTGGCCCTGGCGCAGCTGTTTCAAACAGCTCTCCCCACTCTTCCCCTGTAACATTTTCTCACAACCAGGGCTTGTATTCCAGGAAGCTCAAGCAGAGGACCTGTTGTGACTGATGCAACAGGGTCAGTGTCCTGACTGTCAGCATGGCCCTCCTTCCGCGAAGGCCTACTGTGCCTGGGACACTCATCACTTTCTGGCTGTGTAAACCAGCTCTTTGGTTCAGGTTTTGAGCCACTGGGAGACAGGCCCCTGCACTGCCTCCTCTGCTCTCTTCTACTTACTCCTGCTCTCCCCAGCTCTCTCCTGTTTTCCCCT